GAATCTTAGCTGGTGGTGACATTTGATCCAATCCAGAAATGACAGCGATCGTTTGAGATGAGTTTGGTCCTTCCAGTGTAAGTTAACTGTCTAAACAACAGTTCAATCAACTCGAAATCAGCGTCTTCCTTTTGTACAGTTTCTCGATTAAAATTCATTCCAACTCGAGAAATACTCGTGTGGCACATGCAAAGTAGCATTACCAAAGTTTACCAAGATGTGATTATGCGCATGTTGGATTATTTAACTCAAGTTTTACTGGCCTTTGTGTTCGGTACAACAATAAAAACATATACTATTGATGTTAATTCATATGCAATTAACGCTTAAAATTCTACCATTCAAAGACTAAACTTTGTTAAACCGCTAAAATGTATCAAAAATATTTTTAAAAAAGGAAAGGATCATCGCACTTTTTCAAAGAACTGTGGCCCTAGACAATCAGTGCTCAACGAAGACTGTGTTAAAACTGCTAGAAACGTTGTAATAACGATTTAATCAAAATCTTTTGATGAAAATCATTGACGCCAAGAAAGATTGAAATTTAACAAAAGGTCAGCAAACATGAGAAAACAGACTTTAAAACTTTTTCAACGTTTTCTGCTCCGGAAGAGACCGGAACTGGATATTCCTTAATCGTTCAAGAAAAGCTAACAGTCATGATAGAATAGTTTAACTCTGATATAAGACGTGAAGAAGATCAGAGATCGGACTGCAATAGTTTCCTGTTTTGCTTGTTATTCAAAGTTACAGTTTTCAAATACAGCATTTTTTATCCGCCAAGGGAATCGAATGAAAGAGTGCTAAAAGTTGCTTTCTTAGCATTCCTACAGTTTTGGAAAAGACAAAGCAACTTTCTCACTATAAAGATGATCAAGCGTTTACATTGCGCCCAACAAATGCTTGATGAAAACATGCCTATATTTCCCATGCCGCTCGGGAAATGCACCTGATTGGTCAGTTTCTGTTACTGAAACCGCGACCAAAGTTTTATTAAAGTCCCCTGAGGCATGAAGGGTGGACCGTTCAGCAAAATGCTTTTGAATTATAGAATGGAGTTTCTTTCTCTAGTACAGCGAACTTTATATATCAGCAGCGTTTCAAGACTTTTAAGTTATGTGAAACAAAGGAAAGAAGAAGGAAAGAAATCGATCTCTTAGCTACGAGTGGTATACACTTTCTTTGAGTGTATTCCAAAACTTGAGTTGGTGGGCTGGCGAGTCTTGCCCTGTTATAGTCAGTATTCGCCTGGCCATGCCATTGCGGGTATCTCGTCTTTACGGACAACCATACAAAGGACAACAGCTAAATCACCCAAAAGACATGAAGGTTTTGACTGGGAGAAGCTCTCATGATTGGAAACTTACGGAAACTTTTTCATTTCCCGGAAGCACATTTTATTGTTCTCGTCATCGTCATAACAGACATTGGGTCAACCTCGTCCCCAGGGCTTTTCCGGGAACGAGGTAGGCATGGGGTCTCTCATTAATTCAGTCCAACATGTACATTGGTAGCCTGAATTTCATCCGATTACTTAGAGTCGTTATTAGTCGATTTTTTGAAAGCGAACCCAACGAAATTTACAGTCATGTGAGTGAAAAAGGGTCAAAAGGCAGGTACCCCTTTCGACGCCTGCTACGCAGGCTTGTTTTAGCCTCACTTTCTCCCATTTTCTGAGGGAAAAGCCCCGAGGACGAGGTTGGACGATTTAAAGAGTTTTTCTGATGCACACTTCGCCCCAATGAAGACAACACCTTGTAATGTTTGTTATTTTTTAATAAACTGAACCGCTACATAGTGTTTGTCTGGTTAACAATATATCTTTTACATAAATTCATCCATGGCCACAGACAGAAATCCATTCATAAAGAAATGAATATTTGTAATAAATAGACTACTGCATTTACAAAAAGATTTTACAAACTGACACGACCATTATATATAGTTGTTGTTCTTTTTAATGTTCACTAGCTAGGTTTGTAATGCATGCTGTTATACGTTGGGTGCCTTCTAGCCTGCGTAGCAAGCGTTTCCCTTTGGTTTCGGAGCAAAGAAAGACCGAGGAACGGAATTTTCGGTTTTGGCCACGCGGGAAATGGAACGAGAGCCAAAAAATGAAAGAGCGAGGAGGCAACTACAACTACGGAGAATGATGACATATGTCGAGACCATGAAGGGAGAAACAGTCAGGCATAGCAATCCCTGAACATACAGGAAGAAATAATCGTGTTTATCTTTACAACTAAAAGAAGGCAATACCAATACACTATGCTGCTTTTGAGGCTTATATGGCAACTGCGAATGCAGCATGAAGGTAAACAACATTTCAGAACAAACTTACTTTCCTTTAAACTCCTTTAAAATAGTTTTAATTATTTATTTTTTTGTTTTTAAATTATTATTTTCAATTGGGTCTTCATTTGAAGAGAAATTACTGAGCCCATAAAGAGAATAAAAATTTAACCATGATTACCATATCTCTACATGCTCTCTACAAACCCTGAATTTGGTCATTTTTTAGATGTTGTTATTCAGCAGAGAACGAAAAAGAGAATATGTAACATATTGTGTGTGAAAAATGTATGAACAGAGGCATTAGGGACCTTTAATACGAGACTGAGTACCAGTACAAGTTTTCAAGCCAAATTCGAGTGCCTCAAAAAATTTAAAATTATCATGCCTCTCTTACACTTGAAGTTTATTTATATGCTGGCTAGCAACAGAAAGGCGCTATAGTTTGGGTGATAAAATTAGCTCGAAAAGTTTTACTTGTACTCTATCTCGCCCCGTTGCCAAATCTAAAGATCATTTATGTTTTGCTTGTTAATCCCATTTGGAAGGTTTTTATGTTGTATAGTCCAGGCATCAATAAAAGTATAATGATTGTTACCTGAATACAACACCATAAACCTACATATTGAATACAACAATTTTGCAAGTAATTGCTTCACTATATACACATTTCCCCGTTTACTGTATATACATATCCCTGTTATACATACATGTACCCTTCCAAACATAAACAGAACAAAACGGATAGTGAACTTGCCAGAGGTTTATGCTTATAAACGACAAAGTCCAAAAAGTGGTTGTTCCAAACAAAAAAAAACTTTGGCCTATGGTGCGGATATTTGAGAAAACAATTTCGGACTTTAAAGAGAAGCAAAGGTTGACTGAGAGCTGAGAGGAGATCTTGCAGGAGGATTTAAGCTGCACAACATGTTCTTATTGTTGCATTTCTGTAGGTTATAAAAGAGGTAATTCTCTGTTACTGCTGGGTGCCTGTTGAGCCCATGGCCTGCAAGTAATCAATCAATCAATAAATCCATCAATCAATCAATCACTCAGTCAGTCAGTTAGTCCATCCATCAATCAATCAATCAATCAATCAATCAATCAGTCAGTCAGTTAGTCCATCAATCAATTAATCAATCAATCATTAATGTGAGGTAATCCAAGAATTAAGTGGAATAGATAGACAAAATGGGATTTAGAGAAGATAGATAAAACTAAATTTGCGAGTCAAAATGTATCTTTGCAGATAAGACAATTCAAGGAATAGCTTGAGGTGGGGCAAGGATGAGTTCACCTTAATAGAATACCCATGCTAATGAAAGGAAAATAGAAGAATGAAATAGGGCTCAGATAGGTTTACAGCATATTTAAAAGGCAAGCAATATTCTTTAAAAATAACACCACAATTTTTAGTTACCAAAGGAAAGGAAGGCACTATGGCAGCCATTGGAAAATCAAAGACTCCTGTGAGCAAGGTTATGGATGAATTGAATAAGTGTAGTGGAGCATGCATGGTATTATGAATTGAGTTATAAATTAATATATGATTTTATTATTGGTAATAACAGATAATGTTATTATTCTTTAGTTCAGGATTGATAGACCTTACACAGATGAGCTGACAAAAGAATGCTAGATAGCACATTTTATGGACAAGATGAGACTTACAAAACTCGAGGAAGAGAGTTAGAAGATGTTTGTACATAGAATTGTCCAGGAAGTTGACGGCGACGAGGAGGATTTACCTGCTAAAGTGAAATAATAGAGCAGCCATACCACATAGATGTGAGAAAGAAAAGAATTAGCCATAGTGCTCAGTTCAATGGACTTGCAAATAATTTTCTAAAGAGTTATTTACTCTAAATACAAGCAAATAGACAGTGACATTTGTATTTTGTACTCCTTACACCCGATTGTCACACTTTTTACACATTTTACTTTACATTTTTATATATATAGCTCCATGCAGAATACGTGTTGATGCTGTTCTTTGGCAAAAGCTCAGATTTTAACTTTTAATATTATTTTAATATTATCTTACAGCAGTTCAAGGCTTCACTTGAGTTACAACATTTTACTTTCAAACAATGGCACTATGTCACAGATACAGACATTTTACCAGTAAGGGTGTTGATAGTTAAAGGGTTCATTGCTTTTGTTTGTTATGGATTAGGCAAGAGATTGCATACAACTAAAGTGCATTGAAGTCATCATCCTATATAATACTATTATTTAATTTGCTCCTCATAATATATTTACTTGTAAAAATTGACAGTTGACAATAATTACTTTATTTTGAAACTGTATACATTTTACATATCCTACCAATGAACAGTTATGACTGGTATTTGCAGAAGCCACAAAAACTGTAACTTCAACAATAATTATTGTTAATAGTCTGTCATCCTCTTTCAATAATTGAGAGGGATTATTATGTATGATTATGTGAATTTACAGACCATACCTAATCAGAAATATAACCTACTGAAGATACCTTGATCAAATTTAAATCTCTATGAAAATACCTGATTGAGGAGTTGTCTTCCGAGGAAATTACCAGCAAAAGTGGTAATCTTTTTCCCTGCATCTTTCTTGCAGCGGATGTAACCAATGAGGTTTGCAATATTAAGGGTGAGACCAACAGCAACCACTAACTTAGAAAAAAATCAGTTCAGAGTGTTACCTTCGATAACACACTCAAACAAGGAGGCTTGGAAGAAGATTGTCCAATTACAACATTTTCTGAAAACAAAAGATTCTCAAGTGTTTTGCAAACTGACAAATAAAATTCAAGATTCAACTATGTAACCATTACAAACTTTTAAACTGGTTGAACTTACCTGACCTCTCAGGAAACAGCCCTCCAATCAATGAATTTTGTTGGTCGGTTTGCCAATAATACTTGAGAATCTTTTTTTAGAAAATGTTGTGATTGAACAATCTTCTTACAAGTGTCCTGGTTTGTACTGTAAGTGATTCTGAGAAGGGCTCATTTTATGGAGCTTTTGTAATTTGATTTTCAAGTCTTATCTCTTACAAAGCCTTAGAAAAGCTTCACTGTTTATTTTCTTATCTTTAACAAGGCCTCAGAAAAGCTTGACTCCCAGGGCATGCTAAAGTTCACAGTGGGTAAGCACAAAATTGTATTCTATCCCCAGTGGACTAACATGCACTATAAAGCTAAACAATCAGATTTATTAACAACATTTAGAGTACAATGTTTGTCATGCTTCCTTGTTAAAAATGAATTAGAACTTGGGCCAAGTAAATTTATCAATATTATTATATTCACCGAGCACAATTGGCAAGGCATGTGAAAATTATTTCTTGATGCTTGCTGTAAGTGTGGGAGTGAAAAATATTCCCAAGGCAGTCTATGTGGAGTTGGTATGACCAGAAACCTTGTATGTAATCAACATATTACATTTTGTCCTCTATAAAAGTCTCTTAAACTTTGGCTTCAGCAGACAAACAAGGATAACGGTGAATGTGCTGAGGATTAGCAAAAAATGTGTGCTAGGTTTTGGCTAGAACTCCCCTACTCTGGGTTAAGCAACCCCAACCCGCCCTCAGATTCCAAGCAAACCTCATGTAAACATGTAAAATCTGTGCCCCAAACTGTACAAGCCTACAGACAACTTTCTGCTAATGATACAAAACTGTTGTCAGACAATATTTTGAGGGTAATTACGAGAACTGTTACCTACTGTAGGAAACAGTGAAACCCTGTGAAAAAAGCTTCTAATACTAACAAGTTGAAATACATGAAAGATTCTAAGGTGCGTTATGGTCAAAGCTCCCTTAAGACACCGACCATTTGACTTTTGAGGGGGGGTATGGGTGATTTGGTTTTGGTAAGAATTTTTTCCCCCAAACCTCTGGTGATAGAATTTTTTCCTGGCATACAATGGTGTAAGATTTATTTTTTCAGCTTTGTACACCTTGAAAGATATTTTTTTCACCAGGTACTTCCTTGCAAGAATTTTTTTCCCTCAAAATCAGTCTGCAGGATATTTTTTCCTGAAATCACCCATACCCACTCAAAAGTCAAATGGTCAGCCCCTAAGCAGACACCCTTAGGAAAAAGAAAAAAAGTGTCCATGACTGAAAATGTTGCTTATTGTAACAGAGTGTTTTACAAGCAGTGAGTCAAAGCAGGATTTTGTCCATAAGCTTTCTGGTACAAGTGTATTGCATAAGAAAGCTTCAACAGTACTAATTTTGATTAGTAAGCTCCGTTTAATTCACTTCCATATTTATGTATCACATTTTAATAAACGCGGTCAAAATAAACTTACCAACCACTTAAATTTCAGTGAAAACAATGCAGCCACTAAAAAGAGCATCCAAATGAGAGGACAAATGACCAGACCCAGCCAGAAAACACGAGATTCAGCAGTTGTCACACTTTTATCATTCTGTTGGGAAACAAGTCATATCAAATCAAGTCACTGTTGTGCCCTAAGAAAAACTGAAGGGAGGCCTGTGCTCGGAACCTCTGAAATCCAGGGTCCCCAGCATCTGATTTCTACAAAAAAAGCCTAAGATTTTTTAGTCGCCCAGGAGTAAAATTTCAGCACCAGGGGCTACTGGGCACTGCTAGATCACAGCCGTGAAGGTATCCCAACTTAAGCCTGGAAGGAGTTGAAGTCTTGTCTAAAGTGAAAACAAACACTGATGAAAGCACAAACACAAGTTTAAAAACTTTTGTTTTAAACTAATGGAAAACTTGGCTACCAAAGAGCCAAATTCTCAGCTGTTGCTACCAGGTTGGGGGAATCTTAACAAAACTTGAGCTGGTTCTTCCACCTTGTTTTTTTGGCAAAATATCAGGAGCTTGTTCTTACCAACATGATACTGAAGCTAGAGATTTCATTTTCACAGGCATGAAAGCTAAATAGAATGAGAAAACTCTAGGATTAGGTATTGAAAGTTGTCCTCTAAATTTCTAGAATGGGGAATCAGTAGGTTTTCAATTTTTTTTTTTGCAAAATCAGTGTGCACATTTCAAGACCTGGGGAATCTTAACAAAACTTGAGCTGGTTCTTCCACCTTGTTTTTTTGGCAAAATGTCAGGAGCTTGTTCTTACCAAGCTGATGCTGAAGCTAGAGATTTCATTTTCACAGGCATGAAAGCTAAATAGAATGAGAAAACTCTAGGATGAGGTATTGAAAGTTGTCCTCTAAATTTCTAGAATGGGGAATCAGCAGGTTTTCAATTTTTTTTTTGCAAAATGAATGTGCACATTTCAAGACCTGGGTAACACATTCCCAGTTCAAACCTATCCCACTATGCTTTCAACAAGATCAGACCCTTTTTAGAGAATGCCTCTGTGCATTGGACTATGAATTGGCAAGAAATATTGGTGGCACTGCCCTGTACTGACCTGAAAAATATTTTAATTTCATACCTTTTTAGACTCAAACACCCAGTGACTGTTCCCATCTTCATCAATGTAGTTCCACCACCTAAGACCTACTAATAAACGGCCAGTTACATTTTTGACAGTCCAAAAATCAAAAGACAACAGCAGAACAATGACCACAAAGTTTGTGATAAAACTATCACTGAGCAGCCCGCACAGAAGATAAGCAAGAATGGCTGCAACACGGAAAAGGAGATGAAAAGCTGTCACCAGAGGATTCCTGAAATGAGAGTAAAGAAAAGAAGTATAATCAAGCATCAGACTGATTCAAGGGGTATGATCCATTCAAACAAACACTTCCAGAAAATTCGGCCAGGGATTGAATGGAACGATCCATTTTAGTTTGGTCTGACTGAAATATTGGGGCCAATGTGGAAGGTGGTCCAATTTGACAGAGAAAAAAAAGACCAATAAATTCTAGTTTGCCCGATGTGTTGTTGTTAGCAATAGCCGGCCCTGGATAGTACTAGTGATGTTAGTTGTGTTCAGTGGACGGGAAAGTACAGTTCTGTATGTACAAAGCCTAGGGGTACTCCCATATAAGCTAGAAAGGTATGTGCTGCCTTATAAGGTATGCTTTTTGAGGGTCTTAACCCATTAAGCCCCAGTATCTACATACAAATTCTCCAAACTGATCTCTATGCATTTCCTTAAAGAATGAGTTAAGAGAATTTGATAAAAGATCAAGGCATTGTTATTTAGCTGATCATTTTATTAATTCTCATAACTTATCTGTTGACAATGTATGGATATTGTTAGGAGAAAATTGATCTTGGTCACTATTGGGACTTAGAGGGTTAATCCTTAAGTAGTGTATCATTTTTGCCCTGGTGTGATCCTTAGATAGGGTACCATTATCCTATCAGCTAAAATTCAAGTGTGCAAATCCCCACCTAAACAAGAAACAAACTCATCTGGTAAAACTGAACTTTACCTTCGAGTATTAGGAAAGCAATTCAAGGAAGATGTGCTTACTTCCTTCTGAATTTTTGTATTCCCTTAAAATGGGTCTCATTTTCCAGGTCTGGGCCTTAAATAGGGTATAATTCTTTTTGTCTCACCCTTAAACAGGGTTAGGGTTTAAGAGCCTGGGTGGCACACACCTATCCATAATATATGGTAGTACCCCCCACCCCCTAGCCTGCGAACAGCAGACGCATTTCCAGTTGTCCCTTCTCTCCCTCCAAAAAGCGATGACCGGAAATGTGTCTGCTGTTCGCAGGCTACCCACCCCTGGGTACAAGGGAATTTTAAAAATTCTATGCAGAAATTTTGGCTGAATGGATTGCTGTTAGCCTAAGAACAAAGAGACTTTTTGACTGTATTTTTATATGCAACATGTATGAACAAAGGAACTGTTAGGCTTAAATTTATAATTAAATGAACAAATATAATGATAACAGAAATAGAATAGTTGTCACTAATATCTTTTCCATGCTTCCTTTTAAAATTTCTTGAATTGCATGCACGATTGTTATCACTTTCTTTTTCATTTCATTTCACTCATGAAATGATGTCATTTATTCTGTCCACTTTCACGGACAACTAGTATGTAAACTTAGGCTTAACGTATAAGTTTCAGCTTACGCTAAACTGTTGACATTTTCATAAAACACGACAAAAGTTTTAGAAATTTACACATCTGTTTCTAACGGCAAACCCAAAGAGACTTATTGGGAGAAAATAAAATAAATGGATCTAAAAACACGTTGGTATTAATGCATATGAAGCTTAGCTAATCTTGTCTGAGACTGCTTATTTGCAAACCTGAATTTCTTTTTTCTGCTGAAAAGTTCATCTTCGTCTCCAAAATTTAATGCTACGTCCTCCGTGCCATCCAAATGATCCTAAAAAGATAGCAAGGATTATTACTTATATTCTGATTAAAATAAAGCTAAAAACACAAACATCTTCGCAGAAAAACAGAAGCAATTTACGATTTGAAAGTGTCCTTACCGTATCCGCCATCTTGGATGATTTTAAAAACCGCTGACCTTCAGAAGACGACGTGGCAGTTTCCGCTGCAC